ATATTCATGATTTTATTGCACCTGAAACAGGAATATATGTTGCTTATATTAGACAGATATTGAGAAAAAGGTAAGGAAAAAACACCAAAATAAAAATAGGAAAGAGCTTTACAACTTTAGCATTACTCATGACAACTGAGACTGATGTTTAAGTACTACTGGAACACCCTACATTTCACCAGTGAGGTTTGCAAGAGAAATTACGCAGTAAATTATTATTATAAAACAAAATAATCAGAATATAAAAGAACTTCACAACAATAATCATGCTGAAAGAAAAAGTGACATCAAAAATATGCAAAAGTCCTGCTCAAAAAAAAATCCTCAAAGATGTTCTAGACTCAAAACAGAGCAAAAAATTTGCTCTTTGCACTGGAATGTGATTTTATGTTGTGTGATGAATGAAAAAAAGGCAATATAAAACTCAGTAATATAATCTAAAGTCCCTAGAGCTAAGAAAGGATGTACAGCTCTTACCGCAATCCCACATTCCAAACACTCACTCCCTTTCTGGAAGGAATTTGTTCAGTAGCTCCAGTACCTCCTTTACCAAATTTACTTATTTGAAACATATTCACTTCTTTTCTTTTAATCTAGCAGTATTTAAGAACTTCTAAATAATGTGCACTGAACTAGTAAGCACTCATTTTTTGTTAACCTACATACACAAATGTACATATGCATAGACACAAAATCCAACTTGACTAATAGCAGTATCACAGTCCAGTTTCATAAGGAGAAGTAATGTTTTTTATTAGACTAACAGGACTCAATAGTAAGCAAAAAAATAATCTTTTCTTGTAATTATAGGGCTTGAGTGCCTAAAAGCTCTTCATCCTTTCCCCTCCCTCTCAGTTGTATATAGTAACTCTAATAAAAGCTATTATACCCCCTACAAACTACTTCTCAATCTCAGACCACCGTTATCAAATACAATTTGCATTCAACATTCACATTCAAATTGTCTTCTAATCACCTCCACTCTTTTCTTAACAGGTCCAAAAATAACTCTTTGCAGGTAAATTCAGACACTAGATATAACCGTAATTAAATAACACATTAAAAAAAAGCTAAATTCTACTGTCACAAATCAAGAAAGGTTCTTCTCCAAATAGTTTATGTCCAGCATAAAATCAACAAGGCTCAATTTTATGATGTAGACTCTTAAAAAAAAAAAAGCAATCTGGATAAAAGAAGGTTGTAATCTCTCAATATCAAGTAGAAATATTCTCATTGTTTTTATGGTAGATTAAATCCAATGGCAACTGGTATCTTGAGGTTTGCTGACAGTGGATGTCACAATTCTTTGCTTAAATCTATTTACCTCCTGAATTAACTTGACATCTGTTGATAGATATATTCCTGTACACTAAACTCACCCAAAACGGTTCTTTTGTCAGGTCTTGAATTTCAGCAGCAAATGCCTTTTTTGCATTTATTCACATCGCAATACATTTCACAATCATTTGTCCCTCAATTCTTCACATAAATGTTCTGAGATATGAGATATGCTATGCTATATTTAACTATTAAATGATACATTTAGTATGAGAGCAGAACATGAGGAAAGTATCACACTTGATTAAAATCTAGTTAAAAGAATTCTGAAGCCATGCACTATGCATTGCCGTTTTCAAGGGAGTTTCCTCTTGTGGTAGCAAACTTGTACAGGTTGGTCTACTAAAAAACTTTGCCATACAGTTCTGAGATATTTCAAAATATCCCAAATACAGTAATCCTCTCTTAGCCTTCATTTCCAGTAAAACTACAGAGCAGAATCAAGAGCTTTTACTCTTTAATTGAAGGAACAATTTCAATAGCTGATGCGATATGATCTAGAAAGATTTCAAGAAGTATGTCAAACAACAAAAAACAGTTGAACATCTCTACCAACTCCTAATTTGTATGAGATGAGTCCATAAGCTACTCACTAAAAATGCCAGTGACCTGATACCCTTTTTCAACACGGTGATAGTCTTGATTTTTTTACAGAAGTATTTTGCTGTCCAATGAAATATAGTTTAAGATGTCATGATTTTATCAATACAGTGCAGAAATGGATTTAACACCAGTTTAAAACCTTGCATACTTCAGCCATAGGTGTTCATAGCGTTCATTTCTACTTCATGGAAACACAGTTTAGGCTTTTGCTAAGCAGATTTATAGAAGGGCTTGCTTGAACCTCTGCTGCAGGATCAATACAGTACTTAACGATATATAAGATATATAAAGAAAGAGCCAAGTGGGGACATGAGCTTAATTACACACAGATTCAGAGAGTATTTTGATTGCATTCAGCATGAATAATAAATGAGGGGGAAAAGGGTGAGTACAAATATTCAAGCATCATGCAGACAAAACATCTGCAAGTATGGTATCTGAGTGCAAAATTCCAAGATGACCAAATAAATAACACTGGACCAAAATTACAGACAACAACTATAGTCTAACTACTTTAGGTAGTGAAATATTTAAACCTCCATGCAGCATGCAAACAGAATAACAGGTGAAGGAGGAGGAAGTGGATTCCTCCAAGGTGATGCAACACTTTCTTTTTCATTCCCACTCTCCTGGATGATCTTTACATTTGTCCAGCTCTCAATCAACAGCTCAATTGGTTTAATAAAGTGGCAGTCAACAACTGAGTAGACATAAGGGAATTCCAGTTGTCCAGTTCTGGCAACAGGTAAGAAGCTATGGATTGGAGGGCTTTGGCAGACTAGGCTCTATAAAACTCTCTTATTGTTTATATACCAGACTTAAAAGTACTAGGCCAGTAACTCTTCCAGACTCTCTGATCTACTACCTGCAGCTCTGGAGCAACACATATTAAGAATTATGCAAGATTTCTCTCCAGGAGAGGATATTTTCAAATTAAGGTATCATTTTAGAAGACAGGTGAAGAAAATATTTTTCTAGGAGGTGGTACTTCTCTAATGCTATTTATTGAAAAATTCCTATCTCTTTCATTCCTTTAAAACAACTTGGATACGTTAGGAAGCTCGATATTTGGTACCACGCGAACTAAAAAAAAGAGAAATCATCTCACTAAACACTGTGATTCTCCAGAAATATGAAGAAAACAACCCATTTTTGAAATGTACGTTAACAAGAAATGAAAAATAGATCATCTACAATGACGACAAATGAAGTCGAACAAAAAAAAAAGCAAATAGTAACTTTTTCACAGTTTTAAACAATAAAAGCTATTTTCTTCATCAGCAAAATACCAGTTTTAAGATTACACACACACAGCCCCCCCACCCACCCCCGTGGAAAAAAATTATTTGGAAATACTTAACATTGTTACATAATAAAAGCATACTTAAAATATAAAGCACCATATAGTAATTGATTTTGTGCCACTTTATCCACTGGTAAAATCGATGCATACTATTCCTAGCTAAATTCCCATACTCCTAAAAGTTCCACAATTTAAAACCTCTGTTTTTCAACAGCAGAGACAAAGCTGTAATTCATACTTCCTGGAAGTTATTTAAGAGCAAGAAAACCTACTCTAAATAGCATAAAAAGCCAGGAAAACTTTCACTTAGTCTCCTGATATCATATGCCTATGTGTCTGTTTGTGGTTACTAATAATTTATGATCAATCACCAAATACTGAATATTTGCAGAGATAATTTGGCACCTATTAATAAAATGACAAAAGTTTCAAAGCACAAACAATTTGATAATTTGTTTACTAACCTATTCATGACTGCTGAACTGCAGCCACTAATAAAAGTTTTGAGAAATTAAATTCCAGTATCAAAGAAATAGCTGCTAAATCACTCCAAGTCCTAGTTTTATTAATTTACCTTTAATTGTACTTCCAATTCTCAGATTTCATCCTTTTACCTCCTATATGCTTTAATCACTACAAAAGAACTTAACTCCTCAGTGTCATCTTCTGTCAGATACTGATATTTCTATTCTTCTGTTTTATAAGACTTTGAGCTCCAAAAAACCCTTTGAGAACAAAAATTTCAATGCTTCAACACTGTGCTTAGCAATTTCCACACACCCCACAGCAGGACAGTGTCTGTGGTGGAACAATAAACAAGCAGATCTCCAGTAAAGATTTTTTAAATGCGAGAATTCGATTAGATAATTCAAGTAGGGCTAACTGGTATTTCAAACAGTCTAGAGAGAGCTAGGGAAAAAAGCATACTTTCCTTAGGAAGGAAAAAACCCCAAAAGAATAGGTTACAGTTGTGTATGTACGCAACAAAAATGATGAGGACAAAGTATTACTTTTTCTGCAAGATGCATCCTCCCACACATTAACTGAAGAACTTATGCAGCATTTTAAAAAGGTACAACTGTGTTAAGAAGAAAAATAATCACAATCTGGGCAGACTCTGCAGCTGCCCCTTTGACTTATCAATTTCAGTAAGCACAATTTCAATCAAGTCTAGATAAAATATACTAATCCTAAATAGACCAAGTTTGTCACCTACCACTTCCTATAAGCTGCTTACTATCCTGAAAAAGAGAGAGAGAGAGAGAGAGAGAGAGAGAGAGAGAGAGAGAGAGAGAAGAAATGCTAAATTAAATGCCAAACAGTAGCAGACAGCGCTTGTTTGGCTGATTAACTTGTAGACAAGCATTACAAATAAATCTGAGCATGGTCTGCAGCAAATTAAATTTCAGTGCTTTTAAGAACAAAGAATTCCTTCGGAAAGAGGATTAGCAACTTTACACCCAGGAATAGTTTAATTTAATTGTTCTACAATCCGATATTTAATATGCAAATATCATTTTGATATATAACAGCAAATTTAAAATAAGTGAGGAAACAATTTCAATATGTAACAAGAATGTCTCTCTTCTGAGCATAATTATACAAAATAAAGCTGGTCGAGTTTTTTTTTTATTATTGGGATTGAATTCTATTAACATGAATCAGAACAAGTCCAATTAAAGGTTAAAAACTTGAAATGTTTCTAATTAGGAGACTAAATAGCTGCACGATTAGAGTGCTATAGTTAAAATCCCACCTCAATGACCTTCCTGGCCTCTTTGTATTTTCCTGTTTGCAAGAAGGCGAAGAAGAGATCATAAAGAGCCATCATGTCACCATATTCTCTGCTTATAAAATCTGAAACTAGAGAGAGAATAAAACTCATTAATTTACTAAATATCCTGAATATATTCTGTGATTGAAGCATTTTTATATACACATCAAATATTCTTAACACTAACATTTTCCAAGCATCACAAAACTCCAAGAATAACCTATAGGGAAATAAATTTTGAAATATATGGGATGATTCCAACATATTATAAAATTTGTTGCAGCCTTGCAGTTGAGCATATTTAAAATGGTTTTCAGTTTATCTGCACTATATTTTTAATAACATGCAGCAAAGTAGACTACATACTGGCATTCTCTACTTTGTGAAGATATAGGATTTATTAACTGCACAACTATGTAAAACTACTGTGTTGTGTTACTATTAAGGTGTTTCGTAATAGTAATATGTAGCTAGAACAAGCATTAGCACTAATCTTTGCAAGCTCTATGCTGTATTATACAAACATTAGGACTTCTCTACATTTAACATTAGTATCAACTTTCAGTCTGAAGAATGTAGGCATCATTTAAGTGCTTTAAAGTCACACACAAAACCACATTTTTTTCTTTTAGTTGAAAGAAATAATATACAAATCATGGAAGAAAAGCCTCCAGAAAACTCCATCTAACCAGACAGCATTTGACTACATGCAACTAACCCTTTTGCAGAAGATCAGCATCTCCTTTTTCTATCAGTCTACAGTAGATGTTATGAAGTTGAAGAATTTTACCATACTTCTTATAACAGTTGATCAAAGCTTCCAGAGCTGCAGGCATGTCATCCCTTGTGGAATGAAACAAAACAAAAATAAAAATAATCAAACATTCCAAGCAGGAGCACTGCACATTAAATCCACTTTAGCCTTGAAAATTTCAAGGAAAAGTCATTCAGCAGTCTATAACCCAAAAGTGTATTTTTTTTCCCAGTAAGGTACAGTTACTCTTAAATAACAGGTAAAGTTTTCCTAAAAGCAAATACCACGTATGCTTGACAGTCACAGAAACAAAAAGAGAACTGCAGATTTATGCTGAACCCTCTTGGCTGTATAATTTTTGTTTGCATGACCACCGTTCACTACAGGGTAACCAAAGATGTGAATTCTCTTCATCATTAGATACACTTAACTGCTGAAGTAAAATTCTTAAGTTCTCCTATGTACTCTTGTGACAAAACCCCAATTCAGCGGAAATTTCAGTGTGTATTTGAGTTCTGTTTTTCCTGTTAATATTGTGCACATTACCTCCAAATACCTCTGTTGAAATATTTCCAATTTTTAAACCTTTAAAATGTTTTCCACTGCTGTTTTATTTCTGTATGGATCTCCAGAGCTATCTAAGTTAACCGCAACTCTTTATATTGCTTTGTACTTGCTTTACACCTTAACAGACTAGCTATAAATCGTATGTTGATTTATATTTCACCACATTTGCATGGCTAGCATTCTTCCATTCTGTGTAAAGTAGAATCCAATGTATATTTTCTGCAGTAAAAATTAGATCTTAGCAATCAATTCAACATTATATTAAGGTAGCAAAATGTATTTTATGCTGGTCTATCCATGTCACATAGATCCATGGCACTAGTATATATCCATGATACTAGTAAATTAGTGTGCAAGATACAGGTTTCCTTAAATACACTTCTTCAGGAGCCTTTAAGCAGTAAGTACCAGTAATAAGCACAATATTCCCATTGTTTTTATCTTAGTCCTTTGATGACTTTTTTCCCTGCATGTACAGTATTAATGGCTTCAGAAATATTCATAGTTAAAATGCAAAACTGAAAAGCCATGAAAACAATCAGATCTGGAACGTAAAATAAAAACAAATACAAATTAACATTCTACACTGTGCAACTAACAGAACTAAATAATCTGCTGCAAACTCTTTTTCAAAGGATTACAATCCAATCTAAACAAAAAAACAAACCAAAATCAACAGAGAACCACCACTGAAACACTGGTAAAACAATATGTGAAGTTATTCTTTGAAGGGGAATGTTTAAACTGAAATCGAAACAAGCAGAGATGACACACACAACATGTAGTAAGCAGCCAAACCACCAAGACGACTGCATTTTAGAATTCAAAAGGCTTATCAAATAAAAAAAGAGTAAAGTAGGCAAAGTGAAAAAAAACAAAACAAAAAAGCCAACAACAAAAAAACCCAGTTAGCAGCAGCAGCTGAAGGCCGTAATAAAACTGCCTTGAAATGATTTTGCATTCCTGAAGCAACTTTATTATTGATCAAGTGAACCTTAACAAATTAAGATATTACTGTCAAAATAAGCCAAATTCAGATGTCCTCTCCTCACTGCATTTGTTGTGCAGCACAAATTTTGCTTTTTCAAAGAATGAACTATCTAGACTATTACATATTATCTTGATCTAGGCTAGTATTTTAAAAAATTTAAGAGTAAAACAGAGAAGAATTAATTTTGTTCAGTAATAGTGGCATTCTGAAAAGGAACCTAAGATGATGGATTTCTACCTTATCCCCCTTACTGAGCCCTGTTTACAGTGCATCTTCTGGCACCCCATGGAGTCATTTGAATTTTTGTCATTTGGGGTGAAGACTAAATTACAGGTTAATTTCAAAACTGCAAGTAGATGTTGCAGGCTAGATTACTGTCATAAAAGAGAAATACTATGGTAGTTACCATAGACAGATATAAAGCTTTATATAATCAGTATTTTACTCCTGCTTTAGATGCAAGTTCAGTTAACATCTAAAAACCAGTTTTACAGAAAAATATTCAATTTTTAAGGAGGCACAACAACATTTACACATTCAAATTAAAGTCTTCAGTGATAAATCTAGCTTTTCAGATTGATGCTCCAGCAGCCATAGTATTGTCTCGGCTGTATCCCTAAAGGACTAAAGTGTCTGTTTTTAGGTCAAAGCTATCAATAAATGAACAAATAATTGGAATGTCATTCAAACAAAAACATTAAGAGTTTTCTAGTCTCTAAATGTATACTTCTGAAGGGCATTAATACGGTATGGGCAGAGAAAAAAAGTCAGCAAAGAAGTGCGATAATCAAAATGGAAACATTGTACTTGTTACTGGTACTTGCTGCTCCAAGGCAGCTGAATAAGTCTGGATTTAACGAGGTCAGTACCTTACACACTAATTTAATAGACATTTCTTTTGATCTATCGAAGTCTGATATATTTGTTCAGTTTCATTAAAGCAACCAACCAGTCATCCACAGTTTACTAGAGAACAGCACTTATAAAACAGATAAATGGTAACACTGGCAAGAACCAGCTATAAAACTACAAAAGGTATAAGAAACTGTTTGTATTACTACTGCAAAGAAAGAACAATCAAGCTTATGCTTGTACTTAACGTGATTCATTCAACAACCTGCAGTATTTCTTAATTGTCACAAACTGCAATTAATTCCAAGTAAGTACCAGCAACTACTTTTAAAAGCACTTCTTAAAATACTGTAGGCTTGAAATTTTGAGTATAGGTAACATTTTAATGTGTTTCTTGTTATGACTCACTAACTTAAAAAAAAAAAAAAGAACTGCACAAAAAAGATTTTCCACGTTTTAAGAAAATGCTGTTTAGACATAAGGATTTTAAGCTAACAAACAGCCATATATTTGAAAACATTTGGCAGCCTTTCCATACAGACTTATGCATGTTGAACACCCTTTTATCTTCCCAAAGTATGCTTATTGCACTACTACATTAAAAGCCTCATCCAAAAGTACTACTAAATTAATATGGATCAAGTCAAAAAAGAAATAAAGGCCATATACTCATAGCCATGTTGGAAAAATCTGATTTCCTGTATCAGTCTGGAGAAAATAGTATTTAAAATGTGAACACAGATGATCCGTGTTTCATTTTGAGTTGGCCAGATAGTACAGCTTTAAGTCACTCACAAATATTATCTGTTCAAGGCTAATAGCTGTTCCACTTAAAGATTAGGTGTATTGTTCTTTTTTTAAAAAAGGAGATACACGACTCTATTTGAATGACAGGAGGAGCCTTGGTGACCACTGCATTACACTTGGTCCTTATTTAATCCCAGAAAAGTCCATCTTCATTATTATTTTTCAACTACATTGATGCTAGGGTTAAGATACTTTAAGTTTTTTGAGTCATTTGGTTTCTGTTTAGGATACTTATGAAGTCCAAGACACTATGGGCACAATCTTCCAAAACAGTTGCGCGAACAATTTGACTCACACAAAGCTATCTGAAGGGGCAGAATTACTCATATGTCTGAGTGTTTGCAGAACACGCTCTGTAGCAGAACTGGCTGTAACGTGCACGGATATAACATCCCCCTTCAATTTCAACAAGCCACTCCCCTCTTGCTTCAAGAATGTAGCACTAAATCTAACCCTTTTACTTGTAATAAACAACTTTTCCAGCCAGAGAGACTGATAAAAATAAGACTCCAAATATTGATTTTAATTGGAATGAAGTGCTGCAACATTATGCATAAAGCTTTAGTGAAGTGGCAATTTACCTAAGGGGTTTACTGATTGAAAAGCTCTCAAACCTGAAATCACTAGAGAGGTAGAAAGAAAAAAAGGGACTCTCTGGGGTGGGGGTGGAGGGTAGACTGGTAAAACAAATCCCTCTCTGCAAATCTGTAGCAGATGTTAGTGTAGAGGGAAGTCAATTCAGCAAGGTACAATCAGCTTTACAAAAATTATTCTGTTAAAAGAGAACGGGCTCTTGAAAGACCTAAATGTTTTTCTGTTCATTTGCTATACTAAGGAATCTTCAAGGAGACTGGTGTTGCAATTACAACTAATCCTCCCCAAAAAATTAACTGTGTTGAAGGCTTTGTAATTTCCCTAGGTACAATTTAGCTGTCACTTACTTTAAAATTTACTCAAACATGCGTTCCGAACAGCACTAACTTCACATGTCAAGTGCTTTCCAGCCAATTGAGTCTAAACTGGAAGTCGGTGTTAAACAACTGAATGATTAGACAAGATAGCTCATTTCCCTGCTCTTTTGTTCAGAATAAAATGCCACATTTACATTATCAGACTCAACAGGATTTTCTGACAGAGGGAGAAAAAACCCTAGTGAACACTGTCCGCACCAAGCACATGAAGCCTGTCATTTACCAATCATCCTTCAAAAAGCAATAGCCATGAATGTAACTTAATTACGACCCAATGATCCTTGACAAAAAATCATCTTATCACTGTCCTGTCCCCACAGGGCAAATGAGACACTTTTGTCCTTTGGCACTGACGATGCTAAATTCCTAATTGCAATAATGGAGTAAGAGAGCCAAACATCCCTAATTTCATTGCAACACAGAAAGAGTTTTAATACAAATATTTGAAATAAAGCCACTAAAAATTAGAAAAAACTCTCCCAACTAGATATATATGTTTCCCCAGTAAAAAAATATCACCTAATTTTAAAAGATACTTATTTTAAAAGGAAATTTAAAAGTCAATTAACTTGCATGTGCTAGAGAATCATCTCCAAAAAATCACAGGTGAATTTAACTTCATGAAAAAACATCAGAAGAAAATTGTCACAGCACTGGATTCATGCTGTATCTATTACATATGAAACCAAACAAAATGGGTTTATATAAGATTAAGCAAAAACCAGCGCACAAAGCTTTACTGGACAAAACTGGACAATTGACCATTTTTAAAGAAACACATCTAGCTACACCCTTTTGATAATTTAAAATAAAGACTTCAACTGTCTTCACTGACTTAAAACTACAAAATATTTTGTTCCAGCAGTCCGTAACATCTTCATAGTTTTCCTGCAAATTTAATTCCCTCTGCTTAAAAGCACTTCTGATATAGGGAATCAGTAAATTTCAAACCTGAACACGTTTTAGTTTGTTTCTTTTCTCAAAGGTAATATTATTCAAGGAGAGCAGAAACAAACTAACATTAATGAAAAGACAGGAATCACACTGGGTTTTTAAGACATGTATTCCTATTTTTGGTTGTATGAAAGTTGGCTTGAGCAGCTTTCCTGGAGGAAGAAAAAAATCATCAGTGGCTACTCCATCTGTTAATTTATTGTCTAAATAGGTATTATCAAGTATTGTACAGCACAGGAGCAGGTTAGCTTCATAAACCTCTTCAGTTTTATAAAATGGGTCATGTTCAAATAGGTTTCCCCTGACAGCTCATAGAAAGGGCAAAAGCCAAATCTACAACCCTTACATCACAAGAGAATTTATATTATGTAGGCAACACAACCTTTATCAATCGTCATCAGTTGGAAGAACCAGTTCATAATTCATTTTAAGATAAAATACAAGCTCTTCACATACTTGCAGCTTTCAGAAACTAAGATTTTTGTCATAATGTCCAAGGCAGGTTTTATCATCTTGGATGACAGACCAAGATTCCACATGCGGACTGTCTCAATTTTTAACATGATTTCACCATCTTGAGAAACTGTTCAGAGTTATATTCAAGGCAGAATGTCCATTCTACTAAAATATAAGATTTGTCAGCTTTTGTCAAATTATACTGTTCATCATCATCGATTTTCTTCATTTCCATGCTCTGCTGCTAACTGGCACTTTTTAACATGCACTAGGACTTCCCAAGAATTTCAGAATATTCAGAATTGAGTATGGAGAAAATGGGTCGATGAAAACATTTTACACGTACAGTTGCAGAAATCTTCAAAAGCATATCACAGATTCCTTTACATGCAATTAAAAAGTTGAAATAAATTAAGAAACCAAAACAATAGCACAACCACTGCTGTGGAACGTTAAAAAAAAAACAACCCAGAGCTAATTTCAGAGGAATACTGATGACTTGCAGCTAAATGACACCATTTCAGCATGATACTGGACCTGTAGGATGGCAAATAGTAAGCACTACTGCTGCAACAAATGACTAACACTTCAGTCACTCACAACTTTCAAAAACTCTTATCTCTAAAGACAAAAATAAAAAAGTTTCAGTGAAATTCAGTTATTCCAAGCAATTCACGTGGGAAAAGTTTCTCCTTCCTATTCTGACATTGGAGAGGAAGCAAGTCTCTCCATCCATAACGCGCCAGGGCGGGGGGGGGGGGGGGCGGAATAATCACAGGAAGTGAGCTTACTTTGTATTGTATTTTTATATACGAAATGTATTAAGAGTTACACAGGCGAGTACCAATAACTTGTAGTCATACAGTTCAACAGTATAGAATTACTTTCTCCTTTAAAAACCTAGTCTCATGAAGTGTCCCTTTACTAAAACTTTCTAGGAAAAACTTTTTAGAAAGTTTTGTCAAACGTTCATAATCCAAAAAAATGTGGAATCAAACTAAAATAACACTCTTACTGTCCCGCCTCCTTTGCATCCACACATGATCCCATCTTTATTTACATCATCATATACTACTTCTGAAGTGAATAGAACCCAAGTAGCACCATGTACAGCTTGCATGTCAACATGCATAAAGCAATTACGTAAAATGCAGCTGCTCTTACTGCACACTGCAAAGCATATCAGGTATTTTTCTGACACAATAGTTACATATGATTGCAGTTAAATTACTTTCATAAACATTTGCCTTGTCTTGTGATGTAACCAAGGCAGTGTTGATAACTGAAAAGATGTACACTGTATTCTTAACTGTTGACCACTACACTAAAATACTATTTTTAGAAATAGTCTACCAAGAGTTCCATCTTTCAGACAAGAATTTTGAATACAGAAAACGTTATAAAAACCTTGCACACCCAGAATACTTAAAAGAACTAAAAAAGCTACATTAACAGAAACATTAAAATGCATCTTTGAGGCTGACTTACATGATACTATGAAAAATTCCCTTATTTCATAGGTATTATATTTAAGCCAAGAACATTTCATATACACGAACTAAACTGCAAGAAATTGGTCAATAACTTTAGCTGCAAGAGATTAAAATCTAGCAACTACACAAATGACATAAGAAAAAAAATAAAAGGATTGTGCAGATGGTAAAGGAAGTGAAAAGGAACTCTGCTTAATTTCAGTAAGGAATTTTTATATAGTTGATATGTACATTAACTCAAATATTCTACACCTCATAATGAATATTTTTATAAAGGAACACAACACATGGAATTACGGGTACAGTACTTCTTGCCAGAATGAGTGTAAGAACTTCCTTTCCTCTATTAAATGTTCTTAAAAGTATACATGGAGGAAAAAAAAAAAAACAACAACAAAAAAATCTACAAACAAGACAGTACTTTCTCTGAATTTTTAAATTCAGCAACACAGCAGTTTATTGGCAATAACATGAAATTATTTGAATGATGTGAATTACAAGTATTTCAGTGTTGAAGAACTGTCCTTCAACTCACCTGAGATGTATTAGATGGCACAGCAAAACAATGCTGTTTTGATGGGAAAACACATACTACTAGACCACAAGAGCTGAGGATGTAGCTATCATGCTCTGAATAGTGTCAGACAGACTTTAGAACGAACTAATTCATAAGGGTATTCCAGTATATAGCCATTTAACCCCTGATGCGCCTGTAAGACACAACTGTTGTTCCCAGAGACCGTGATGTGATGTACAACTGATGAAAACACACTTAACCAACTGAAGAAAACATATTTGCCCATTACTATTCATAGATCACTTAAGCAACATATGCACGCATGTGTGCATGAGCACTTTCAAACACGAATGTGTGGCTGTGTATAGCATACACAGGTCATATAACACAAATAAATATCATATCATAACTTGTTACATCTGAAGCCCAAACATAGCTTACTTTTCAAGGTGAACTGTAATGAGAGGGGAATAAAGGGCAGCAGTTTCTGCCAATCCCAGGTTCACAATGGCCTCATATAATCGATTCACTGTTTCAACTTCACCTCGCATGGCAGCGGCATTAAGAACGCGGTAAAAAGATGCAACTGTTCTGTCGGAGATAGGAACATCCTTCTCTTTCATCTCCGTTAGAATGTTAATAGCATCTACAATGAAACAACACAAAAGAACCTTAGGTAATTTCATGTAGG